CAGCTGCTGCCACAGAAACAGCAGCTTTGGTCATTTGCAGAGGTTTAACTTTAGATTTTAATTGCTTGATCGTTTGCTTAGGCTTGAATTTGATTTGTAGTGTCAAATATCTGAAATTGCGACGAACAAGTACACATTGCATTTTTTATTTGAAAACACAATTTACAGTCCTTATATTATCTTTGTTTTGTCTGTAAAGGGATTCACGTGTATGTTGCTTTAGTTGCTGAGATTTTGACATTTGTTTTCAAGCGAATAATTTTGTGACAAAGCTATTCTCAAGTATCCTTAAACCTTCTCATACAAAAAGTTGATCAACAGTTTGCTATGGTTTGAACCTTCTCCAATCAGAAATAGGTTTTTAAACATAAATTAGCTTTATTTTTTCTTAGTGACATTCCTCCAAAGAAGAAAAATTCACCATGTGGTGCAAATCAACGTGCAAGATTGAATAACTTGCCGAAGGGAACAAAAAAATGGTTACATTTTATCAAAAAAGAGCTCTTGAACCTGATTTTTTGTGATATTTTCGTATCATAATTCGTGATAGAAATATGTGCCCAGTAGCCGTGGAAAATTGGACAAAAATATCACAACAAAAAAAGACCACATTTGGGCATCCATCACGGTATGTTCAAAATTATTTCTTTAATTTTGGTCTTTAGCTCTTATAAATAAAATTTTGACTCAAATTTAATGTAGGGTAAGTTTGATGCCACGGATATGGAGCAAAGAAGAGATTTGATAATGAGTTGGATGCAAGATTTGTGGAATAAATGGCGTGGTCACATGCATAAGTTTCATGTGAAAGGAAAATCACTACAAGATGCTCTACGAAATCGACCTAACAAAGTATGGAAGGAGGATTGGGACAGGCTAGTTAAGGATCAAGAGAAATATGTAAGTGAAATATATGTTAGTTTAATATACATCTTTATACAGTAATAACATTTGTAGGATAAAATCGTTCATGTCAAACAATCAAACCCTTCAATTTCAAACATTTAGGTAATTGAGAAAATTTGGGGTAAGCAATCTCATGGCCATGTCACTATTTTTGGAGGGGGGCTTCATTGAAAGATTTTAGGGGACCTCTCCCAAGCCGATCTGACTTGGAAGCACGAGTTTTTGAACAAAAAATAAGAATCAAATGCTTCAACAATGCTTAGATGAGTAAGAACAGCAGCAACAACAACAGCAGCAAAAGATGTATGACTTGGAGGCACAAGTGAAAGTTATGCATGACATATTTATTCGGCAACAAACTAATACTTTCGTCGACTCCTTGTACATGAGAAGATATGCAAGACTAGGTAATTATTTATTTAAAATAATCTTATTACTTTTAAGATTGACTATTTGAACTCGAGAAAATGTGATTTTTTTTCTTAACAATATAATATTTGCAATTGTTTTGAAATTGGTTTTTTTATTTATGTAATTGTTTTTATTTTTCAGGCTATTGAAGATGGGAAGAAAGGATCGATTGCTTGAGATTTTGAATACTTAATCCAATTGCTTAGACATAAAATGATCTCAGCCACTTTGTTTTATTTTGTGTTAGATAGTTTCATTTTTTTTTAACGATTGGATATTAGTAAGTCTTGTTGTTAGCATTGGATATTTCAGGATGATGAAATTTTGTATCTTGATGATTCTAGTGAACAATTAGATATTATTAAGTCATATTATTATTAGAACTTTTTGACATATTTGTGTTGTCTTTTGTGAAAATTATAATCAATTTGAAAGTATAAATAGATTTACTTCTATGGCAGTATTCAATGGCAGTATTCAAAAAAGGGAAAAAGTGTTTTGGTACATCTATGAAGGAATACACCGTCATTGGTGAGTTATTACTTGCCCGCCATGGAGACTTTTATGATGGTACATATCCGTTATTAGTTAGTTTTCAGTGACAAGCTTGTCAACTGTTGTTAAACGACGACATGAATGTCAAACCACCGTTCCACAACTATGATGGGAATGACGACCAGTCATTACACAACTACGACGAGAACGACGAGCCGTCATTACACAACTATAACAAGAATGACGACCCATCATTACACAATAGCAACGGGTAAATGGCCCCGTCGTTACTAGTAATAACGATCATATCTACCGTCGCAACTAAGAACAACAGTAATGTACCTCGTAATTATTGACCCTATCACGACAGGAACTAAAACCTTCATGACACTTTAGCGAAGAAGACTTTTACGATGGGCCGCAAAGATATTTTCCCCCGTCGTTAGCATACAATAATGACGGTTTTTGGATCTTCAACAAAAGGATTTCCCTTCATTAAAGACTTGATTTCTTGTAGTGTCAGTCATTAGTTACACCAAAAATATATACATTAGTCCTACTGCTATTTTACATTAGAACACAGTTTTCTTGTCTTATTAGTGTACATAAAACTTTCTCCCAGAGTTTACCCCTTTTAAATAACAATAATTTTAGAAAAAGGAACCAACTTTAAAGTAGTTAGCTTTAAAGTAGTGAGTCAAAAAATTATTGACACCATAGGTTGTGAGATCAATTCAGATGTAGAATCACTAAACTTACTCATAACGATAAAACTTACTCATAACTACTAAGATTGTTAGTAGTTCTATAACTTTCAAATCAATAAATCTAAAAATCAATAGCTTATGAGGGTTGTTAAAATTTAAAATAATTTTCTACACCACATGGAAGGTCCTAAAGATCTATGAGACAAACCGTCTCTAGCACATCCTTATTGATGCCAGAATGAAGGAGAGCGCATCTACTTTAAGAAAGCTACTAGCAAGCAATAAAATAGTAGCACTTCCTAACATCTTTAATTACAAAAAAAAGTAAGATTTCTTTACCTGAAGTACAACTAAAAAGGAATTACTAGATTAGACCATGGAAATCTTTTATGAAAAAGGCTAGAATATAGGAAATTCATAAGAGGAAAAGGCTCACCATTTAACTTTGGATGTATGCTCATTAAGGGAAACAAGTTGCTCTAGAGCATTTGTCTGACCATAAAGTTCAGGTATCCGCCAAATGGCCGCTCCATGTGTTTCACCTACAATACACAAAAAGTATATCATACTAGATTCTGCATTGCAAATAACCAGAAGCAGCAAATTCAAATAATGGTTTAACAAAACACCATCCTAGTAGCTATTATTCCATCAATTATTATCTTCGTTAACCGCATCCCTAGAGCAATATGTTACTATCTTATTCAATTGTATCCTAAGAAAATAGTTCATACACATTACTATATCGAAATACTACCCATTTAGCTAGATGTTTTTCATTTGCCTTCTTTTCCTATATGTTTGCTAATGCATCAACAAGGCCGCTTACGCGCTTTGGAGTGCAAACATTTCAGTTAGGCAACAGACTGTGTAGATCTAGGTGGCTTATGTGCTAATCTAGGCAACTCAAGGCACAAGCCATTCCCAAGTACTTTTAAAACTGCTAAAGTTTTTAAAAAGATTGATCATTGGCGTCCTCTAATTTTCTTACTTGATAGCAATGACATGAAAAAAACAAAGTGCTTCAAGACAAATTAAGGATGGAGTAGAAAAAGGAAAAGGAAAGGTTTCAATAGATGCTTAGATATAATAAATTATAGAAAGAGAAAGTGTCGATAAAAAAACATCCAGCAATCAGGATATACCACAGAAAAAGGGGCAAAAGAGAATATTTCAAACCTAATAAAAATTCCCAAGAAGTTATCTTTAGATGGTTGAAAGTGAGCTTAGAATGAAATTTTTTGGTCAAAGCCTGCTCAGTTTCATAAACGTTAATTGAGGAGAAACTCCAATTCATACTTCTGAAATTAAATAACCTTTAAGCTCCATGAGCAAATGTTTATCTCACACTATTTAACATGGTTACATGTGATTATGTCATTAAACTGCATGACTAAAAGTTGGCTTTACATAACCATCATCTGGACTTAAAGATTCTATCTAGGGGTGAGCAAAAATTGGATCACCGAAATCACCGACCGAACTGCCCGACCTTCAGCAGTTCAGTTCGATTGTCAATCTTGTTTGGGTCAGGTCGAGGAAATCTCAACCCGAACTGGGCCGTACCGATCGAACATCAGTGTGGTTTTAATTTACATGGTTAGTGTTGTTTCGATTGGGTGAGGACATGAGGTTACGGGTGTAACAATCCCGATTTTTAAAGACATCAATTTATCTTTTTTTAATTAACTTACCATATGTTGATTGCAATCCCAATTTATTTGTATTAATTCACTTACCATATCTGATTGATTACAATCCCAATTTATTTGTATTAATTCTGTTATAGTATCTAATTGATTACAATCCCAATTTATTTAAAATTAATTGAGAAATCAGCACCGCTCAGACTTCCTCTCTCACCCTGAGCATGTCCAAACTGTCAAAGGCAAACCCCACGCCGTTAAATTATTATTGGGCCTTTATGATATTTTATGCTCTTACAAATTCTGTACAATGACAAACACTTTCACATCATCAATAAGAAACGCCTTTATTATTATTATTATTATTTTGTTATTTGTTAAGCATGATTCATTTATTATTATTAAGCATGAATTATTGTTTAGAGTAGAGCTCCTTGCATATTTCAATCAAACATTAATTCATATGCATGCAGATCCCTAAGCTTGTACTGAGTTGCTTGTGAATTTAACAAAAACAATGAAGCTTTTATATTAATTTTAACTCGATGCAACAGATAAATTTTATTCTTAAACTTCGAACTTATCCTAAAGAATCATCAAAAACCTTGATGCTAAAGAACCGACAAAACGCACCGATCAAAACCGAACCAAATCACTTCAATTCGGTTCAGTCCCCACATGGATTCAGTGCGTCTGCAGTGGACAAAAATTTAGTCAAAACACGACTGGCCGACCGTATGCTCAGTCCTAATTCTATCGCAACTCCTACTCTTGCTCTTACTTGGCTATGAAACTGGGACCAATATAAGCTATCATAAAACTAGCCAATTCTTTTTGAAGTTTTTTTGACTTATAATAATGATGCATAGTTAAGTCGACTTTAATGAGAGGAGTAATTTGATGAATGATAGATGATATAGGTTTTGCATTGAACCTAATTTTAAAATCTGAGCAATTCATGTATGTGTTCAACCAAGGCTTAAGTCAGTGATTAGAAACCAATCTTTGGTGCCTCAATGATTATATTTCAAAATCCAAGTGCATGCCTTATTTTTTCCCCTCAACGTGCTATCAATGTGGATAACCACAATTTGTGGTGAATTAAGGTTTTTTTTGCTTCCATCTTTGCTAGATTTCTTCGACAACAAGTACAGGAGCCCCTTCTACCATTACAATCTACTACTCATCGTACTTCTCATCCTCTAATGCTTCACCCCCTTCACTTCCTCCTCCTCTATAATCTATATGTCTAAAGATCAAACCTTAACCTAGTAACCTACCATGGATACGCAAACTGTCCTCCTGTATGCTCACTTGATGTGCACAGTGACATGTCAGTCCCTACCCAAGTTGCATGGGTACTAGTACGAGTGCATGACAAGGAAAACTTGTAAAAGTTTGGGTACGGGGACTTGACTGAAACTTATGGGATAAAATCATAGTCCTAAGCTGACAACCCTTTTAAATTGTAGTTCTTAAGACTGAAATGAACTCAACCCTTATCTAACAAGTAACAAAAATAGATGTGAAGTGTAGGATATATATTCAAAAAATGTATGGCACTATGACTAGAGTGTTTTAATTAAACATGCATTGTAAAATTGTGTGCAGGTCTGAACAAATATATTACATATTTAAGGAGTGTCCAAGAAGTGTCGGGTAGGGGTATGACACGTGCCGACTATGGGTAATATACAGGTAGCGTAGGTCCCTACTAACCAAACCTAAAGAACCTCCTTGTCCTCCTTCTCTTCATCATTTTCCAGCCCACTTTTAACAAATTTCTCTCACACCATGATATTGATATCAATATCCAAAATGTAATTCATGCATCAACAGGTTAACCATCCTTTGTTTAGCATTTAACTCCTTCCTCCCTATCAAGTAAATGGTTTTTATTATGATGCTTTTGTGTGTAAATAGGCAACTCCTTATTGTCTAAAACTTCAAATATTGGTATATGTAATTGAGAAAACGGAGGTTTATTATAGATATAGTTTTGGTACATGTTACTTTAGTTTAAAATTTAAGCATCCTACTTCTCTTTATCATGTGAATCTTACGTAGTGCATCTTGATTTAATCTAGATCATGTTAAAATTGCTTTGTCTCCTATTGAAGCATTCATTATATGGTTTGTTAAGGATATTGAATCCTCATTACATGAAAACTTTTTTTATTGAATAACACAGAAGTTATATGACCTGTGTTTTCCTCCCCGACAGATATTTGGTTTCTTTTCCATTATGCCATATCACATAAGTAATTTCATCCACAATCAATATCGCATACATCATGAAATTATAATTAACATATCAATGTCGAATATAACACAGGATTACAGCAGGCTGATGTGTGATCTACATTCAAAAATGACCGGATTCAATTACCATCAAAACCCAAAACCATAATCATTATGGAGATCAGTTGGGAACAAATTGCCATGTATTTGGTTCAACTGTTCATTATTTTTATTGATTAATGCAATGAAATATTTTGATCAGCATCCACAGAGGGGGGGAAATCACAGAATTCGTAGAAGATCCATAATTTTGATCTGAAGCCTAAATTTCTCAATTTTTTCGCGAGTTATCAATGCCTTCTTACTACTAACTATGATTCATATATCCATAATCTTGAAAATATATCAAAAACTATTTCAATTACCATTTGTAAAAACAGTGGAAAAGACCCTTTGATCGAAGGGGCAAGGTTTAAGATCCCAGATCTCATTGGGATGGTAGAACAATCCCTCGCACACGAGCTCCGTCCCCGATGGCGAGAGCCGAATCAGGTGCACCTAGGGTTTCAAAAAAGCATCAGATCTTTACAATTTACAGAGAAAATTCTGATCCGCGATTCGAAAGTTGATGGTGAAAATCCAACCTCATTCTCCTCCTTGAGACTTAGGGTGCCGGCGAGGAAGCTGGTGTGCTCAGCGTCCGCTCTCACGTCGGCGATGCATCTCGCCTGCGAAAGTAACATTGAATTCTAGGGTTTTAGAGAGAGAAAAAGGAGACATTTTTATCTTGGTTTCTAGGGTTTTTGATGGTGGTAACCTGGTACTTGAGGCCGCCGTAGACGATGCCTGTGGATCCTCCCTGCATATTTTTCCGTCGTCTCTTGCTCCTCAGATCTGCTCTGCCCACTGTTCCTCGGCGAAAGCTGGTATTTTGCGGAAGCTCGTGATTTGCACGTGATTATTTACCGAGGAGAGGGGTACACCAAAGGCCAATGCTTTTAAAAGGGCTAACTAGTTTTTTTTTTTTTTAATGAACAGATATAGAAAGTCTAAACTACTATATTGGCATTTTAGATGCACCCTAAATGGTAATGAAGTATTTTAAATAGCTCCGCTATAATAAGATGCTATAATTATTCAAAAGGAACAACAAGATTCATGATTTTCATCGAATATCAATTTTCCGACCAAGTTCCCTCACATGATTGTTGCGTGATCATTGTGTGTTGAGTTGAACAATAGGGAATGACATGGCATAATGATTGGAGAGAGAAATAAGTATGCCTAAAATCTCATCGCCCCCCAAATTAGCTGAATTTAACTTTTTTTCAAAACTTGAACGAGAGAAGGAGCAGTTGGATGAGAGTTTTCGCAAGAATCTCTCTGATCTTGAATGTGACTTGAGAAGGGAGAATCTCCGATGTGGACGACGAGTGGAGCACGGTGTGGACCATGAGCAAAATAGTGGAGCTCCTCTCAAACTTTTAGGAGATTTTCTTGTGGGTTTGTTTTTTTTTTTTTTTTTAAACCTTGGGACAAATTTTGTAGGTCCCTATTTTTTTTTTTTCCTTTTTCCAAAACTTGAAAAAAACTTTGGTTTTTTTTTTTTTTTGACATTTTTTCCAAAAAAAAAAGCTTTTTTTTGAAAAAAAAAGGGCTTTTTTAAAAAAAAAAGTTGGGGGAAAGCTAATTTGGCGAGTTACTTCAACCAAACCCTTTGGTAATTTTTTACCCTCAAAAAAAAAAAAAAAAAAAAAAAAAAAAAACTTTTGAAAAAAATTTCTTTCAAGCAATTCTTTTCTTTTGCCAAAGTAAAAAAAAAACTCTTTCTTTTGTGTAAAGCTTTTCCAAAAAAAAATTCTTTCTTTTTTCAAAAATTTCCAAACCCTTTTGTTTCTTCGGGTTCCCAAAAAAAAAAAATTTCTTCCCATTTTTTAAAAAAACCCAAGTATCTTTCTTAAAAGGCTTTTTTTTTTCTTTCAAAAGACAAAAAAAAAAGGGTCCTTTCAAAATTTCTTTTTCCAAAAAAATTTCTGGGATTTGGACAAAAAGGCTTCCTTTTTCAATTTTTTTTTTCCCAAAAAAGGCTTTAAAAAAAAAAAAAAAGTATTTCCTGGAGAAGCTTATTTTGGAAAAGCATAAATTTTTTTTCAAATCAAAAAAAAAAAAAAACATTTACAGAATTAAAACAAAAATTAAAAAAAAAAAATTGTTTTAACTCCCACCCAAAATCCCTTTGTTTTTTAAAAAGCTTTTTTTGCGGCAATATTTTTAAGAAACAAGAAACAATTGGGGGTGTTTTTCCATTAAAAGGGGGCTCCCTTCAGTTGGTTTATCCTCGGGCCAACATTTAAAAAAAGCTTAAATTTTTCAAAAAAAAATCTTTTCTTGTAACCAACTTTTTGGTCGCGGGTTGGAAAAATTGCCTTTTTTTTCAGTCCATTAAAAAAAAAGAAAAGAATTTTCTTTCAAAATTTGGTGCACACCACAATAAAAAAATTTTTTTTTTCCCTTCCTTGGCAAAAAGCTTTAAAAAAAAAAACCCCAATTTAAAAGGGGTTGGTGGTTTCATTTTTTGGGTAAGAATTTGTTTTTTTTTTTTCTCCTTTTTTTTCGGTTCTTTTTTAAAAAAAAAGTTTTTCCTCTTTATTTTGGGGTTAGGAAAAAAAGGGTTTTCGGTCTTCACGTCCATTTGGGACCAAATTCGTAAGTCCAGCTTCCACCAATGCTAATAGGTATCCGAATCGACGATGCTTCACAACGGGTGAAAACACCTCATTGTAATCAACACCTTCAAGCCCTGCTGCATATCCTTGGCAACCAATCTGCCTTGAACCGGGAAATGTTCCCCAATAGAAGATCCCTGCCGTCTAGCATACACCACTTGCAATCCAAATAGCTTTCTTACCCTTAGGTAGCTGTGCAAAGTGTTCCCAAGTTCGTTTCTTCTGAAGAGATTGCATCTACCTCCCTCCATAGCATTCCTCCACCTAAATGGATCAGGGCTGGACTTCTTGCCTTCCCCTGAATGTGGCAGGAATAAGCATCATCAACGACCGTCCACCGATTTAACATATGCCACCGATGAACATCATCATATCTCACTGGCCGACGAATCTTCTCTCCTGGTTCTATCTGTGCAATGGGCCTCTGAGCATGGACCCTGCTCCTGAGCCTCACCATCCACTGTTCCCCCAAATGCCCTACTGTCAATCTCATCTCCCTCCCTGTTGTCACCTCTGTAGGAGTCTCAATGGGGACAGTTGCCAACTGGAGGTAGGTGGAGGTCACATCATCCTCCACCTGCTTTGCGATATCCCTTCCTTGGTCTGTCTTTTCCTCCACCTGCTGGGAGGAACTCGCAGGCTTCATCGATGTACGCCTCAGTCGAATTGTGACATCTCTGCTAATGATTCATTTTCTTGTTCTTGCGGATTTCCTAATTTTGAAGCCTTTTTTACACCCTTCTCTAATCCCACAAAGATAGCCTTCCTCGCTCTCGATTCAACCTTCTCCCATCACTAAACATGGGAAATTAAGCTGGGACACCCAAAAATCCGAAGAGTTCATAATCACTAGCCACAGAACCAGGACAAACGCTCTTTTAAGGCTTTTTTTAAAAAAAAAAAAAAAAAAAAAAAAAAAAAAATTTTAAAAAAAAAAATAGTTAAAAAATTTTTTTTTAATTACTAAAAAAAAATATTTAAAAAAAAAAAAAAAAAAAAAAATGGGAGTCTTCCCCTCTATCGGCCAGTGCCACAGGCCAACACTGTTAATGGAGATGGGCTCGCCATAAAACTAAACGCCTCGGCCCGAAAGATCTAGCCAAATCCACTTGCCGTCATTCATACATCGCACCTTTCTTCAGCAAAGGTTACGGTTCAAGGCCTTCGGTCTGCCACCCCAAATCTGTTGCAGGGTGTCTCATCTTTAAACTGTGAAGTGTCTATTCTAATTTGCCGTGATTTCCCGGCAAAACTGCACAGAAATGGAATCACTCTGTGTTACTCTCCAGACCATTAGGTATTATTTTTTCTGAACGAAGAGTCTTCACCTTTCTACCTGGGTCTGCAGCTCACTTTCTTCTTCCACTCCACCAAATATATCCAGGACCTCATGTTTATGCTTCATACGGATAGTATTACTTCCAAATTTCCTTCCTGGAATAAATCATCAAAATTGAAAGGGACAAATTAATTTGCCCCACCAAGCGATGTTGCTTTAGGAAGGGGGGCCCCGAAACATCTGTGTGAATGTAGGTCTAAATATACCTTTTGGGTGTTGGTGAATTGCGGTTTGCCAAAACCTATCGACTTTTAGTCTTCTTCCCAAGTATGCAATGCTCACACAGCCTCCCATCTGCAGCGTCTACTTGCACCTTATCAATAGGGGCCCCTGGTTTTGCCTAATGGGGGCCTGAAGGACTTTTCACCTGTGTTGTCCAGCTTCATGTTGCCATAGTGTGGTAGTGGTCCTTCCTCTGTGGTGAATTAGAAGCTGCCAGACCCCCTGTAACTGTCTTGCCCTTCAATAGTATAGGTTGTTTCCCGACACGTCCCCCCACCCATACCCCATGCCTTCAAAACAGCCACTCAGACACCTAAACCCGGATTCTTCAAGCCCAAAAAGTAAAGAAGTGTCTTCCAATGCCTACGACACATCACCACAACCTCCCCCAGCAACGACTGAGCAACCCATAGCAAACGTGATGTCCCCATGAGAACCTCCTCTCTTCAACTCCTCAAAGTTGGTAAACCAATCCCTCCTTAGGTCCCAATGTCTCCGCCAAGACCACCCATAGATGTCAGGCATAACAAACTGTATTGGCAGTGCGGGACAAGGCTACCCGGCCGCTCTGCACTCTGCACCTTTGTCGGCCCACTTACCTATACCCTCTGCCGCTTGGTCCGCTTTCCCTCTTTGCTTCCCGGGCTCTCTCCTTCACCTTTGGCCTCCTTCTTCTCCGTCCCTCATTCTTTGCCCGGCCCTTGATTTCTCCCCCTTTTCTGGCCGCCCAATCTTCTTTGTTTTGCGCGGTTGCACTCTTTGGCGGTTTTGGCCTCCGGCCCCGCACTGCCCGTGCATCCCCGGCTAGAAAACAGAACCATAGATTTTAAAATTAATTGATACGAATTACAGTTTTCTTCCTTAATACGTATGGTTTCCACATAGGCACCTCCCAGTATCAATATTCACCCTTCTATATTGTTGTGTTCTTATATCTCGGTTAGTCAGCGTGAAGTTTTCTTCACTGAAGATTTGTGATAGGAGATATTTTTGTTTCATAAAATTATGTGAATTTACTTTGGAACATTTTCATAACAGGGAAAATTTCAAAGAAATTATACGAGAAATGCACCAACACATCGGGGCCCAGCTGTTTATTGAGACCGTTGACATGAAAGTTTGGCGCTGACTAGGATAAATCAACACAAGTGGGACCAGCCTTTTTTCGTAATTTTTTTTCTCTAATATTTAAAATCATATTTCATCTAATTTTTAATTTTAATCTAATATCATTCAGTTTTTCAATATATTATGATTTTAACGTTTAATATTACATAATTTACAGAATACATTTAGTTACATTTCCTTTTGGTTGAAGTTAATTTTAAAATTTGAATAAACTGTTTTTTTTAAAGTCTGGCGGTTTTTTAATGGTCAGGAAATTAAGGTGTTTTTTTTTTCTGGTAATTTATTACTCAAAAGTAGATTTATTTAGTATACGTTCAATTTTTTTTGGGTTTCATATAAGTCCTATATATCAAATATTTACCAAATACTCTACTTGCAGTTGCTATTGGTCTTCCATTTTACAAGTTTTTAAAAATGAGTACCTCAAGCATTGAAAATGTCACTAGGTTCTAATTACTATGCTTAACTTCAAGAGCAGTCGTAGCAATCACAACTTATTTGGATACGTAAGAATTGACGAAATGAAATGCTCATTCCAGTTTTATTCACGGCTGGAACATGAGGTTATTAA